ACGATCGTATAACGGGCAGCGCGATTACGCGAAACCGCCGTTCGATAACGTTTCTCTGCTCGCTGTCGGTACGACAAGACCGCGCGACACGACGAGACGTTACGACCAGCGCACGATTATTTTCGTCCGAAAATCTTTCCACGTGCGCGATTCACCGAGATCAACGCGGCGCTCCTTCCCACCCCACCACACACACACACACACACATATACCGCCCCGTAACGCGTCGGTTATCGGTCGGTCGGTGTTCGTCACGACAAGCACACGCGCGCGAGACGGTAGCCGCGGCCGATCAGCTGTTTTTGCGTCAGCGGACGCCAAATGAAGTCGACGTGCGCGTCGTTCTCACCTGCACGCGCTGTCTCGTTTCGCGTTAAAATCGAACGCGGTCGTCCGATAACCCGGACGGGTAGACGCACGAACACGTTGCTTGGTGATTACACGCTTTTCCCGCGTCCGACGCACCTCACACCCGTACACGGTGGGTATACTCCGCTGCAACACGCGGTATACACGCACATACTAACCGTACGGGTGTTGTACGCGCGCGCACGTCGGGTTGTTGGTAATACGTGTAGTACGTGTAACCACCGGCCGGACGACGACGACCGACGACCGCAATGATTCGCGGATATCAGATGAGCCGTTTTAATGAATCGTCGTCGTCGCACACATCGTACGCACACACGCACGCGTACACGTGTTCGAAAGCGCGTATTACGTGTACGTGTGTACCGCGTTACAACGTGCGCGCGCATACGGAATTACGGGGTAACGCGCGTACGTAATACGCGTGTACGGCACCGCGGGGCGACGTACTCGGGGCGCGTTTTCGAATTTCATGCGACACCACCTTTTCGGTACAGAACGTGTTCGACGGACGGGGACGACGCGAAAACATTACGGTCGAAAACCGCCGGACAACGGTACAAATTAAGCCGTTCGTACAGGAAAACGTCGAATCGATTCCACGCCGATTGAAAGTGTAACGCGCATTCTGTGTGCTGCGAAGGGGCTGAACAACAAACAACCTCGTACCGAAGTTTAGCTAACCCCTAGTTACGAGTAATGGTGCGATGCGACGGTGACAATGATCCGTTTAAATTATACACACGAAAAACAATTAACATGATGAACGTATGAAAAAGAGCGTTCAAACGCGCACTGTGCACGTCCGACGTGAAACTTTTATTTTTTTTTCGGATTTTTCGACACATGTTCTCCTCTCGTCGTATACATATATATATGATAAACTTATTACGGCCGAAGTTGAACTAGAAGAGAGCCCCCCCCCCCTGAAATGACCTCGGATCGACACATCACCGCATATCGTTCATATATTATGTGTGTGTGAGTGCGCGTGCGCGTGAAAACAGCTGAACAAATTACAAAGTCGGCACACACTCGATTTATTTTTTATTATTATTATTATTATTTTTAATTAGACGGATTCGTTCGATAAAAGAGTGTATAAGAACAATTCATTATGACAACAACACATAGTGTTCGCCCCCCTCTCCCGCCGCCGTCAACTACATTACTCCCCAGTCATTCCCCTCCAAATGTCACGTGGTGCAGTTTTGAACGGTTCGCACTTTACGCGAATCGCATCATCACACGACACCAACAACGATTCTCTCTACTCGTCGTCGAGTTTATAACATCATACGTATAACACGTACACCAGATGACCGCGAAAGTTTCGCCGGAAGGACCCTCGGAGAGAGGCCAGTATTTGGGAAGGGAAGGGAGGGGGTGAAATCCAAGCCCGTTCGACAGTTTATTTCATATTGTACTGGAACGCGGAACGATGTGCGTCAAATACGATAAATAATAATTAAAAATGACATTTAGACAATTTTTCAGAATAATTCCATGCGTGTGATATTACACCTAACGAAATAATTATATATTTATTTTTACGAGCAGTTGTTATATTACGATCATTATTTTAAACGATCTCCATTAAGTCGCGTAGGCTTTAATTACGTTTGCCACTAGGAAAAAATATTTACGATGAAATTCTGTTTGCCCATTAACAAACCAATTAGTTATAATTATTATTATTATCATGATAACAATTTTTACGAAGTAAAGTAGTTAATGTATTTTAAAGAATATTGTAATAAAAACTCTTGGTTCGTGTGTAGCTGATAATTTTTATACAGAAACTAAAATGTTCGATAAGAATTTTACAACTGTGTAAAAACAATAGGTATGTGGAATGAAAATAATTCATTTCCTCCGGTTGAAATGTTTAAAAAAAAAATTAATTTAATTTAAGCGTTCCAGAGTCTAAATTCAGACTATCGCGTGAGTTACCGCGTCGAGACCAATAACTAAGTATAATATTTCTCTACATGGTACCGAAATAAAAGCAAAAATTTAACTTCATTGTGACGGGAAACAAAAATGTATACGACTATAAATAATAACGGTGTGGACTGATGGTTTTCCAGGCAAATAACGATATAACAAGCGTTCCCAACGGTTTTCCCGAAGAAAGATCACGAGTGTTTTCCGCTCGCGATCGCTACATGACCGTCCTGGTTCACGACCTGGTGCGGCTAATAAGACAATAATAATTAATGTAAATTACTACAAGGACCCGTCGCCGAGGTAATTGAACACACACGTGAAAGGTTTTTGGTATAAAGGTGGGCAAGTACATAGCGACGATATAGGTAATATAAGATTATTGATAAAACATTATTACGCGGTCTTGATATTTTTGGGCGATACGTGGCGGGGATAGGTAAAATGTAATTCGCCGTCTGCAACGCATAACCACACCGCGCAGCTTACCCCGGACCGGCCTCTTTGGGCGTTATACGATTGTTGCATATATATGGACGAGATTTACCTACCGTCGCCGTCGTCGACGACTGACACCAACAATTAGTTTTCGTAACAATAGACTAGATTTGAACATTTAGAGAAAAAAATCGTTAAACCAGGCGGAAAAAATCCTCGCACGAGAGTAGTTTGGACGGGGTATTACATTCCGCGTAAATTTCGATTGCAGTGAAGACGTGAAACGTACATGACTTTTATGACTTTTACACGGCTATTATCTCACTTAAACGGCTCTCGCCCGGCGCATTAGTTCGCTGCAACCGGGAATTGTTTCTCTCTGCACAAAAAAAACAACACCGACGCGTCGATACAATGTTGTTCCTTAATCGGTCACCCACAGTACTACGGTATAGTCGATCTTACAATCGAAAACCACCTGTGTGGGTTCTAATTTTCAGAAAAACGAAGTCGTTCACACACATGGACTCCCGAAAACGTTATTATGGCATTCTTTGAAAAATCACGTCCTATAAAAATATAATTCCAACCTTTTGATAATAAATACGCCCCAGCACCTGTCCGACAATATTCTCGTTCGATTGAGTGGCCGCGCTACAACAAAGTCTGTGAATCATCTGGAAATGATTTGATTTTTTTATTTTCGAAATGACCTACTGTTAAGTACTGAAACGTGTTCAGCACGTACATACCGTATATATAACAGTATAAAATGTAAAATTTACAATGTAAGCCGTCGATTAAAAAGTAGTTCTATATATACAAACAACACACATAAGCTAGTCTTGTTGCATTTTTTTATTTTCTGGCTTAGAGCCAACACAAAGCGTGGGTAGATTATTTTCGGTTTCGCTACTGACGAAAAAAATGTAACGACCAAACGTTCATAATGGTACAATACATACGGTTGGTCGGTTCATGAAAAGCTCGCGTATTTTTTTACAAATACGTATCTACATAAACAAAGCTGATGTATAAAACCAAATATCGATCCGAAAAAAATTCATCAAAAGTAAATAATATTCACAAGCTTAAATTAAATAGGTAGGTACTTACACTTTAGCAGAAATACAGTCGTAATAAATGGAAGAATAGTTTCAATATTTAATCTATTTTAATCCGTCAGTGGATTTAAACGCAATAAAACTGGTTCTTTAAATTTTTATATAACACATTAATGCTAATTCGACGAAATTAATATTACATTTCAATAAAAAGTACAAAGTGTAAATAAAAAAAAATGTTTTAAGAATTAGATTTTTAATTAAAATACTTAATAGTAATAATATTAGTTTAAAAAATTAGTTTTTGTCATAAATCCGGAATGAAATGCTAACGCGAGACAGTAAACGAAATATAAATTTTAAAATTATATAACACGACGAAAGGTACTGCAGAGGGCGGGATATTTCTGCAATCTAATAAATTCTATGGGCTTGGAAGTACTTTAATGAATGAAAAATAAAAGTAAACAAATTAATTTTTATTTAACACACACCTTAACTAGTTTGGAAACTAATAAATTTATGATTATAACGTTCCTGCATTCTTTATGGATTCATATGACAGATCAAATATTAACAGATATATTAGACCAATATGTGTAGCAATTAATCACTATGAAAATAATTGTATATACGTAATAAAAATTATAATACGTTTAAAATGTATTGTTATTTACGTGTATCAATAACCGGTATGATTGTCACCGCAGTTGTCTTTTTCAAAGCATGGTCGGGGGGGACAGTAGTGCGGGGCCACTTGTTGCGTGTAAAAACAGCTGGCGATAACACCTCGAAAGCAATGCATAAAATAATACAATTAACTTCGTTCAGTGCGATCCGTGCAATAACCTATGTTCGTCGTAATTAAAATTTAAAAAACACTCAACTCACAGGTACAAATCGGCTAAAAATCATCGTATTGTTAATTCGATTTCACACTCTCGTCAGTTAAATGTTTTTGAAGACGTGTAAATAAAATATTTTAGAAGTGGGATTTTTTAAGCACCATAAATATACTGATTAAAAAAAAAAGGAGACCCTGGACCGGAAGATTGCCGAAAACGAGCACAGAGTCGGAAATAGTTAACACCACGACGCGTCCACTATCGTAGAAACGGTGCGGGTGACAGGTACAATTTAAAATTAAGAATCTTAAAATTACCGTATCATAAAATTACTGACCTCCCACATCCAGTCGACCACGATTTTCCTGAGGCTGGGCGTAAGATCTTTCTGGACGTTGACCAAGTAGTCGGGAGCCGGCATGCATCTCAGTTCGGACTTGAGCATGGTGTTGAAGACGCGGTCGTCCAGCAACAGCGCCGGGTCCTTCTGAGCGACACACTTGGACGTGGATTCGCAACACAACAGGTCCATGACGGCGGTCGGTGACTTCTGAACTTGGCTGGCGAACAGCGCTGAGTAAGTAAGCTGTTGGGTACGTGAGTGCGTGCGGGGTGTGCGTGCGCGTGTGTCCACGTGCGATGTGTACGATCAGGAACCGTGAACCGCGTGCGAGCAGACGATGGAGCAACAACAATCGTTCGTTCCCCGTTGACACGTTTCTGTTATGTTTTTGTTGGTCGTCGAGAATCGGAACAAAATCTGTCGACGGCGAATCGTCCGGGTAAAACCGAAACGGGCGGAGGGGAAAGAAAAAGCGAGTACGTGGGCGACGTGTGTACGTTGATTGTGCGGAGAGTGTTTGGGGCGTTGAACAGGCGATGTGTGCGCAACGAAACGTCCGAACCCGGCAGCGGACCAGGTCAGAATGCGTGTGCCGTGCGCGCATCGGCTCGCCGTCACCGTCGCCGTCGTCGCCGCCGCCGCCGCCGCCGCCGCCGAAATCGAATCAGTATCAGTGGGACAGAGCGGTGCGTGTTCGGGCGTGCGCGTGTGTACGCGCGTATGTTCGCGCGTGTGTGCGTGCGTGCGTGTGCGTGTAAACGTGCTTGTGTGCGTGCGAATGTATCTCCGAGTATAGCGCCGGTAAACCGTACACACAGTCAAAGGAGAGGCGCACACGTACGCGCGCACACATAAACGTACACGCACACGCACGCACGCGTACATACGTTTACGCGCGCGCACACGCACACGCATACACACACACACGCACACACACACATACAAACACGCACACACACACACATACACATACAAACACGCACACAAACACGCGCACACGGACCCGCTCACGCACTCGCGCGCGGATAGACCCTCGGTCGTACGGTAGGTCCCGTCGACGACGACGACGTATAAAGAATCTTTTTCTTTCACATGCCGAAAAAAAAAAATAATAATAATAATGTTCAATAAAAATAGAGAAAAAAAAAATACGGACGAAAAAAAACTGTGGACCGCCGCCGCACCGGTTTCGTCGTCGTCGTGTATGCGATGCAGAGAGAAATTGTGCGAGCGAGAGAGAACGAAAACAGGAGTGCCCTGGGGGGGGGGCATCGTTGTACGTTAAAATATGCATATTATACTGTTGCCCGTGGCCGCCGCGTCGTGTCGTATGTACCGCCGCCGTACACGGTCCCAAACGCGTTCCAATAGAACATCATAGACCGTGCAGTGACGGTTTTTGAGAACCCGCAATGGGGTGAGGGGGGCAAAAATATTTTGCATGTACTCGCCGTTCGCGTCCGTATCCCGTTTATTTTTTCCTGTTGCTTGACACACGAGAAGTAATTACAAGTTCTATAAACTTTACACCACAATGGCGTGACGTAAAAATATTGGTATCGATAAATGAAATTGTACGGCGAACATTTTCGTAAACAGTTTTGACATAAAATTATCGCCAAAACGATTTTTAGTAAACGATTTGTTCGTTCGTATTATTAGTTTTTCGGCTCAAGGGGGAGGGAGGTTCACCTATCGCCCCCCCTCCAACACTCGTAAAACCACCACTGAGACCGGGTACGCGCACGTCCATGTTACGGTACACGTCGGTCGATCCACGTAGCTGGTGTTCGCCTAACCGTCGTCGCCGAGTTCGCGAAGGGTTGGGCGCGCATTCGCAACCGTGGTTCAGTGGCGTACCAAGGGTATGGCGAACTGTGCTTACGCCAGCCGCGCAAATTGCAAAGGGGCGCAAAATTGTGCAAAATTCGTATTTTTATCTTACAATTAAATCGACAATTTTCCATGATACTTTTTGAAATACGTAAATGTTGTCTATTTGTACACGCTACGTGTGAATTTGATTATGAAATTGTGAAAATAGGGTATTCAAATAAAATATTTCATATGAATAAATTATTGTTGAATTTGCCAGTCATAAAGTGAGGAAAACAAATTTTTTCAAAGTTTAAAATTAATACAGTAAAAATAACTTATAAATATAAATTGTATACTTAAAAATATTAGTAAAATTAAAGTTTAAAAAAAATATCACGACATTAAATTTTAATTTGTTAGAAATACTAACCTAATTGCATTTATTTTATTCAATTGTACTTCAATAGCTCATTAAAATGTTTTAAAGTTCTCAATTTATGATTCAATGCTTATTATTAAGAGTTAATTGTATAATACATTTTATTCATAGCATATTTTACTACAGAAATAGTCAAGGCCGGATTAAGCACCTATTGGGTTCCGAGGCTGAAATTTTATATGGGCCCTTTTGACCAAACATGCTTTATAAAGATGCTCGCTCCGCTCGCAGACCGATACATTTTTTTAAACTATTTCACAAATTTTCAATTGCATTATAAAATTATTAGGTATGTACAATTTATATCTATAAAACTACTAATTTTAGTATGATAATAAATGTATATCAGCTTAAAATTGCTTGGGCCCCTTTCACTTGGGTACTCGAGAGGGCCCCGCCTAGAACCTCCCTTAATCCGGCCTTTTAAGTAGTCCAATAGACATATATATATATATATATATATTAAACAATCAAGTACCACATCATATATCCTTTGTTCATAAATACAGGATTATACTTACCATAGGAAATACGTAAATCATGTGATCAGTTGAGATAATTTTTATTGCCTTTGTCAAATAATTTTGGGACATACTGTAAATGAAATGTATATAAGTAGAACCTACTGTGTCTTGTTAATAATTCTTACATAACAGTGGCAATTTAATTCTGTCCATAATAGTCCCTCCCGAAAATATTGTCACTGGGTGCTAGCCAGTCTTTCTATGCCACTGCCGTGGTTATCGCGCTGGATTTTTTACTGTAAGGTAAAAAATGTTACGTTAAGAAAACTCCAAGTATATACAGAAAAGGGTAACACTCGTCTTACACGATTGTTAATAAACTAGTGAAACGTTGAAACAAATTTGGAAAAATGGTTTCATGTCGATAACCAATCAAACGGATTAATTCGTTGGACCGCAATTAGTTATAACGGGTTGATATGATGAGAGGTGGAACCTACAGGTATTAATGTTTACACATACTTTTTAACTTTATTCGCTATGGAACTTGGAAATGAGAAATCACTCGTGTTGTGTGCGTCTATATAAAGTGAAAAGCATTATGTACGTTTTGTAAATGTAAATTATTTTTAGATCCATTCGCGATACAAAAAATAACTGAAATATAAATTGTTTTTTTCAAAAAAATAAAATTCAAACGTTTATTATTAAATAATCGATTCGGAGCAATGAGTTTATTTTTTTCATACTTGGTCAACTTGGTTGTTATTCAGAAGCCGAGGTAATGACTTTTTTTATAAGCTTTTTTCACATGAATTGCTCTATAAGGATACTTATTCGAAATACACACGTATGCACTGTTTGCAATTCACACACTGAACACACATAAACATATGATCGTTATTATTGTTATTATTATTGTTATTATTATTTGATGTTATTCAATAATAATAGGTTCTTTTGCATTTTTTGCTACGATTTTAGTTTTTTATTTTTTATTTCACATAGGTTCACCGTCGTGGCGTTTTCACCAGTTAAAATTCGAATACAAATTATACCGTGAGGCGAAAACACTTGAGTTCTTCATCCGTACACGAAATGATTCGATTGTCATTTAGCCACCAATCACCATTCCTGTTTTTTCCCTCGTCCACAAAGGGTGGCCGTCGTTAACTTCGGTACGCCAAGGTACGCGCCCATCATATTTTTTACGGTTCGTAAAACGTCAGTGTCTCTTCCTTTCGCGGTGGGCACCGTCTACAATACAACAAAACGATTTCGAATGAAACGACGCCACCGCGCGGGTTGACGGTAAATTATCGCCGACAATTATTATTCGTCTTTCGAGCGGTTTTTATTGAAACATACACATCTGCTTGTAATAATATATAATGAATTCACAAACACAAGAGAAAAAAAAAAGAAAAAACCCCCCCATTGAACGATGGAAGAAATCGTCAACGTCGATAACAGGACTGCTGCGCCGAGTCAAGGTCGAAACTGTAAAATCCCTGCACTAAATGCCCATTAAGTAATTTTTATCTGTACTTCGTAGTAGTTTTTCTCCTCGACCATAAAATACACACACACTTATCGGTTTGTTCCCGAACGATGATGGACGAAATAACATTTTTTTTTTTAAATTTATACCCACAGTACTGCGGTGTTGCTTGTGCGTACATGCTCACGTGTCGACGATTCATAATATTCCACTGTATGAAATCTATTATTATTTCAATTAATGGGGCGATAAGCTCTGGGATATCCTTTATTTATTTCTGTACTCCGCACAGAATTAATATAGTATCGCTCGCGGTATCGAAGCGTTCTTTAATAGAATAATCTGCTTTTTCGGCGAACGATGGAAATAATTACGAATTGTATTTTTATCCCATTTTTGGATCAAAATAATAATTCCAATAAAATGAGCATTAGTTGGTAAAAAGTTAAAAAAAAATAAATATAAATAATGAAACCGCACCGTGTGGTTCACACGAGAGAGATTACCCATTATCCACGGAAGTGCACAGTAAGAGTAAACCGTAGATCCAATATGTTATGTAGTTATTTCTAAGCGATTTTCCGCAACGTATAGTGATTTTTCGCGGTGGTAACCAATATAAGGCAATAAATCACCAACGATCTTCTTTTGTAATCATGTTTTATGGGAAATAATTTTACCTTGAGAATAAAATAAAAGTGCCTGCAATAAATTATCATACGTAGTACCGATGTTTCGATTTTCAATGGGAATTGTAAACATTATATTATGTGCAGCGTTGAGTGGCGTGGACTGAACCTAATGTACCGTCCTGTTAAAAAAAAAACGCGACGATTGAAAGAAAATTAAACAGTTTTATCGGTCAACATGTTCGTCGTACTTACATATACAGAATGGGGTCGCTGTAAATTTCGTCCCATTTTTTCTATGTAAATTGTGGTTTTGGTATATTTTTGTATGTATGAACGCGGTCGTGGCGACCTGTTAGTTATGAAATATTCGTTACTGTACGCCCACCTAAATATTTTTTATTTATACGTAGATTACGTTTCAGGATTTTTTTGCAAAATCAATATTTTACTTCTCATTTTTCAGACTTAATACTGGCAATATAATAGTATAAATATTGGATTTTCGGTTTTTTGTTTATGATTAAAAAATATATTATTAGTAATTAGTAAAAATGTGTATGATTAAAAAATGTATTGTTAAAACTTTGCAATTAAGAAATTAGTAGACATTTGGAAGACAATTTCCGCACATGGACTGACCTAGTAATTTTGTTTCTGTCTTGCAATTCATACGTTTTGTCATGTATAAATGTTTCTTTTTCAGTAATTTTTTTGTTAATCTGTTCCCTGATTTCTCAATGTGATATTCGT